CGCTTCTAATTCTATACAATATAGGTAAAGAGAGAAATTTGTTGGTGTCGATTCCAATCTCAGGAGACAACCAGAGAAGAAGCTTTTTGTTAGACATTGTTGCCTTGTTGGGTTTTAGCCTTTGGAGATATGTGAAGATGAGTCGCCGCCATTAGAGAGAGAAAGTATCACGCTGGAACTTGCGGCTGAGGAGAGCAAGAGAGATAATCAATCTTTAGTATGGTTTTGATCGGGAAATATTAATAGACAACGACAAAATTCCAAACGATTTTATTAAAAAGAAATCACAGTTGAAAAATAATAATTTGATACTATTCTATGACACTATATAAAAAACTGATTATTGTCAATATATCTTGTTGGAAAAAAGATATTTTGCTCATGTTCATTTTTTTTGAAAAGATTTAATTTGTAAACTACATCACAGAATCTGGTTACGTAAATCGATAGGCAAATGACAGTAATCAATAAACAAAATATCTCATTATTATGAAGCATATAGTCAAACATTTAGTTTCAAATTCTCACAAGCATAAGGTCAAACATTTAGGTTTCCTCGATCACTGTCATGGAAGGTCTGGTTCAGCTGAGGGCTAGGCTGCATGTGCAATTTGTGTTCATTAGACTACACGACTACAATGAGAAGACCAAAATTGTCATCTATAGAACATCGACCATCCACCCCAAATTTATGTGTCAACCAGAGTCTGATCACCAGTATGATCTTAAACGGTCCAATTGCTCTGAGACCTACAAGCAACTAAACCAATTGTCATGAACATAATTACAAGGTAGTTAACTAATGCAAAAAGTTTGAACTAAGTTAAATATGGACCACCAATTAATGTGGTACTGGTACACCTAAAAGAAAGAAGCGATTGTCGCAAACACAACTTTATCTTAGAGTTACTCTATTTTAGAGTAAAAAATAGAGTTTTGGGATGGAGATGGTCTTACTCCAACCCTACTTCATTTTGGAATTAACAATGAAGTGAAGAACAAAAA